TAAAAATGTCTATAATAGTTGGGGAGTTTTTATTTTTTTCATAATTTTAGTGATCATTTTATGTCTGTTATTTCTATGTTGGTTAAATGTACTAAACTATCTACCCACCTACCTACCTACCTATTATTATTATTACAAATACTATAACAATGTGTAGTAAAATTAATAACGATTTCTTTCTTCTAACGTTCCACTCAGCTACACGTTTTTTTTGTCTTCGATTTCTCCAGAGGGAGAGAGAGAGGGAGACAGAGAGAGGGAGAGAGCAAAAAAATGATAAAAAAATATTAATAGAATATTTTTCAATAAAATAACTATAATTATTTTTATTAATAATTTCGACTTTTAGTTATGTAGATAATGAATAAAATTAAACGAATTAAAGAATGAGTGAATTGGGAAGATTTTACATTTTATTTCCCTGTAGGTATGCATATGAATGAAAGAAAGAGTTATATATATATATATATATATATATATATATATATATATATATATATATATATATATATATATATGGAAAAGATAGAAATATTAAAAGATGAAGAGAAAACAAATTTAAGGCATGTAAACTTAGTAATTCACTGGGAATATATAAATATATTTGTAGAAAAGAAAAAGGCTGTAAAACTAAATGTTTACAAAGAGTGTTTGTAATGCATCTTACTGGTTAATATGATTCTTTTATATTATGCGGTAGGTAATTCATACATGTAAAACGTGATCATATATATATATATATATATATGCAGACAGCCTATTTAGAAAAAGGGTAAGAAAGTTGGTGAATTAGACATTGTTGCATTCCTATCAATACCACCATCAGAATAAAAAAAGAGAAAAAATAAAGAAGGAATAATGGTGAAAAAGTAATAAAAATATACATATTCCAATACTTAAACATAATGTAATCAATTAAATATGATTACGACAAATTACTCTGATTATTATTATTATTCCATCCACTTGGCAGAACAGTAGGCATTAAACATAATCTGATTATTAAAAGAACCACATGTTGAATAAATTAAAAATGTATTCCTTCATTTAAACTAGTGAAGATATAATCAGTTAGTAGATTGTTACTAGATAATGTTTCTATATTCCTCTAACATGTCATTTTATTAACCTCTTGAAAAGGTTATTTATCATTATATTCAAATAATGAATGATTAAAATAATTCAGTAGAAAGTTGGTAGGTATGATTACCAAGGTATAACTTGATAATTTTGAATAAATTGAACATTCGGTAGATTATTATAAATGAAAATAATATATTTTTAGATATCCTAATGAGTAGAAAAACTGAGTTCAAGCCACCTCTGACTGATTATTTATTCTCTGAAGAAGTTCCTTACACTGAGTCATGAAACATTGGAAAAACTCATTTTTCTACTCATTGGAATATCTACAAATATATTATATTAATGTATAATTCAGTAGAAAATTTTAAAAATTTACTATAAATAATACTTTAAGGATTATAAACAAGTAATAATCCTATTTATATTACAGGTACATCCAGCTGACAAGTCCAAAATAGGACTAAATGTGAGTCCTGGATTCCACTTCTATCCACTGTCCATCTTTGTATATAATGCTTTTGATTTACATTATATCAAGTCAATACGCATAGTATGCACATATACCAATAAGAGACTGATCAATTGCAGTCTTAAACATCAATGGGAAGATTCAAACAAACAATACCAAATGAATTTAATCCCGTTTATAATTTACACTTTTCACTGTTGATCATATAGAACTAGAATAAACAGTACTTAATTAACTGAAATGAATATATTACTGATATACTTGTATAATTAATGAAATCTGTCTGTTTTATCATTGAATTCCATGATTGTATTTCTATTACTGATGTTTGTTTTATCAATTACATTTTGAAATGAGATTTTCATTACTTCAAATATCATATAAAATAAATTGATATATACATATCATTGGTTTTTAAAAATTTTACTACTGAATGACATAATCTGGATAATAACTGAATATAATAGATAATTAGAAATGTATTTGATCATAAGTCAGGCTTTCTCAGGAGTGAACATTCATGACCTCACCAAACAGTGAACTTATAACTTTCAGGTCACTCCTGAGATATGATATCTTGATATTGTCAGGTCAAATTTCAGTAATTTCAAATTTCACTTTCAATCTCCCTATGATACACTAGTTATAAGCTAATGGTGTTAATGATAACTGTCCCACCTTTAACAAAATTGTATTTTATCACTTAAAGATCATCAATAGAATTTCGTAACTCTAAAATTATGATTGTATAACTATAAAAAGTAAACTTATCCTAAATGCTCAACTAATCAATAACTTTTCAAGTCAAACAAAAACCATAAATCACATCTACAAATTTTGTACTTATTAGTTATTTTGTTACTAAGTAAACTATATAACATTACCACATACCACAATACAAAAGATGGGAGACAATTTGAGAGGACTACCGGTAAATAGTTTCAATTAAACAATATTTATTCAACTTTTAAGACTCCTGAAAAGTTTCACACGATTGTTAATTAATTTTACTGTAAAGCCCCAAGAAAATAAACTAATGTTCTTGAAGAAACGTTTGTATTGGTAAAGTAGTTTACCGATATAATTTTACTCCGAACAAGTTTGATTCTTTTGAAACTGAAATGAACATTATAAGGGAAATATTTTAAACGAACAATCAATCAATCCATCAAAAATAATATTTTTTTAAAACATCGTTCTTAATTTATGGTTTAGTGTATTGCAAAAGTTAGTTTCAATTCATAGAGCGATTTTCATCACTGAAGGATATATGTAAGAGTACACCCTATAAAAAGAACTGTGTGGCTGTTTCTTCATAGTTCGGGACTCTTCAGCAATTTATACTTGCAAACTAAAATTAATGTAGACACAACGTTTCAATCATATTATGATAATTTACTTGCTAATGACTTGAATTGAGACGATTTTCTGAGGTTCCAGTAAGAAGTCAAAAATTGTGGCGTTCTGTTAAGTCGAAAGTGAAATGGTCATCACTGATGACACACTGTGATTTTTACTATTTATTATGAAGTGATTGATGTTGAAAATGTAAAGCAGACAGGTTTCAACATGACAATCAAAACTTTAGGAACTTACTGTAATGCTATATACGAATAGTGGAAGAGTTTCAACGAAGATGGTTGAGGAAGTCCAAATATAAACGAAACAGCTATCCAACGAATTCTAGATTTAAACTGTGTCCCAAATGATGTTAAGCCTAATTAAAAACGATCATAACGTTTTCATTCACTTATTTTTCAATCAGATTTGAGATCAGATATTCTATGATACAATAAACTCCTACGGATAACGCTTTACTATCAATGTTTTTATACTAGTTAGTTAATAGAAGCTTTTAATAAAGACATTGTTTCAAAAGATATTACTGAAAATAATGTACTTAAATCAAACAGTTTAAAATACATTTTGGAAATTACTCCAAACACGGTCGTTTCCAATAATAAAATTAATATAAAAGAACTTCCGTCCAAATTTGTTCGAATAGTTTGACAGTATTTGGTTCCGAGTTGATGTGAGACATTAAGGAGGAAGAGTATATTTATAAAATAGCAGAGGATTAATTCAAAGTAAATCTAAGGTTTCATTCACTATTCATCACCTCTGATTGGTGAATTTTTAAGAAAACATACAATGAATGTAATATGTCACAGCAAGCACAAAATAAAGATAAATAAAATAAAAATAAAAATGTCAGAATGGGGATTTGTAGAGATTGTAGTAATTTTATTAGTTGACCCGTCAGTCGATTTTAAGCCAGACGGCCAGTGAAAATCTGGAAGCACTGGATGACCTTTTCGCCTTAGTATGAGAGTCCTCAGAAGCGCACATTCATAATCCCACTCTAGAGACTTGAACCAAGGACCTTTGGTTTCACGCACGAACTCTCAACCTCTAGACCACTGAGCCAGAAACCTTTAGTGATAATATGTAACTTCCATAGATCGGTTAATAGCTGCGCAACCGTTCATTCATTGTCTAAAGTAGATACCTGTTTCTACTCGACACGGATTGTACGGTTTCTCATCGTGACTCTAGAAAATTCAACTTGAAGCTGGCCACTAGTGAGTACATGATTATTATCAAAATGGCCCTACAGTCCTTTCAGGTTTTCAATGGCAGTCTAGCTTAGATCTATTCGTAAATTCAACTATTAACTTAAAAATGAATGAATGATTGTGTTATTTTTATTATTCCCGTTAATTATTCATCATATTCAGATAAGATAACTGATTAGAAAAGTTGAATGTATTTGTTGTTATTCAAATAGTAAGTGATAGATTAAATAAAATAAAGAGTTCAGGTTTACTTATTAATTATTAGTTGTCATGGGGAAGCTAACTGTATTTCATCTCTCCTATTATTACTGTATGGATTTATCCACATGTGTAGGGCTTCGACTGATAATCATTCTTTGTAAAAGTTAAAACGTGTTTGAACGATTCTTATGTCATTAAAATCAATGATATGACCCGATTCTATTGTGTGTAATGCTATTACTAATTTGTTTGCGAGCTATTTTTCTATTTTCTGAGGATTTAGGAATGTGCTTTAAGCAAAGTTCGTATTCCTTTACCCTCAAATTCAAATGTCTTACTAAATATGTATGTGAAACTAATTCGCATAATAAAACGTGTCAAAAAAAACTTAGTTTTATCATGAACATTACGCTTGAGTATTAAAAATGCTGGAAATGAAATGTAGATAAATATATGTTTTTTGTCAAATTAAACCAAACTATTCTTAATATTCTCTAACATTTATATATACACAGGCAGATAGACGTATAGATAGATCTGTAGATAGATAGATCTGTAGATAGATAGATAGATAGATAGATAGATAGATAGATAGATAGATAGATAGATAGATAGATAGATAGATAGATAGATAGATAGATAGTCATATAAATAATACTGAAACTTACAACAATTCTCAACATGTAATGTAGTCCATAAATTAGAACGATATTTAGATGTTGTCAAGTGTTTTCTTTGTTGAAACCAAATATTTGAATAGTATTGTTCCAATTCATTTAAATATTGATTATGTGTATTAACATGTAATGGTTTATTAATGAAATATGAACCTGATTGAAAGTGTAAAGCTTCTGTTGGCTGATATAATTGTTGTCTATAATACTGTTTATATAAACTATGCTCTTTTATTGTAGTTAAATTAGAATTATTTATAATATTATTCATTTGTTTATTTAATGATAAACTTGTATTTTGTTTATTTTTATTTATATTCTCTTGATTTAATTGTTTAAAATTGATTATATGATAATCTTTTATATGTGAATGATAAGTATCCGGTAAACTGACTGTAATCTCTGATTGTATTCTATGAAATGGAATTGCAAATATATAAGATAATATAAAATACCATATAAGATAATAATTACATAAATTATACCTATTCAATTGACTATATTGATATACATTAATTAAATCATTATAATGAATCATATTGTTTAACAATTGAATATAACAAAATTGTTTAATTCTTGTCAAATAGAATAAAGAAACTAATGATAAAAAATCCTTGACAACATATGAAGTTATCAATTATATTTATTCATTTCAATGAAATAAAGTGAATTAGGTTAGTTTTTTGTTTGTTTTTGTTTTGTTTTTTTTTGTTGTTGTTTGTTTTTGTATAGTTTATATGAATCAAATGTTACATTCATATTATATAACAATGGATTTTGTATAGTTCATTTTTTTCTGTATAGATTTTTGTAAAAGTATCTTGTATTTGCTTTTTGTCCAATATCATGCTTCATTATGATGCATTCAAATATATATGTATATATATTTTCTGGTGTAGATCTAAGCATTACTGTTGTTGGCATATAAAAAAGTAAACATGTATTCATTGAACATGTCGATGTATATATATATATATATATATATATATATATATATAGGCTTATTTATACATGTGTTACGTTTGTGTATGTGTTTACCTACAGTGAATGTTATAATGCATATAGTTATGTACATGCATATATTTATAAAGAGGGAATACAGTGAAGGGAGAGAATGATTAAGACTGGACAAGTTATAGTAACTACCGATTTTTCGGTTATTAATAAATTGTTTTTTTTTCATTTGGAAGTTTTGTTTTCACCTTATTCATTATGTATAGATATAAATTTACAAAAGTACCCAGTAACTAACAATGTGTGTGGTCAAAAAAAAAAAGAAATTTATTGAGAAAAGCATAAAATACTGGGGTTTTTTTTCACACCATTAATAAGAGCAAAAACAAAACACATCCAATGCCTTGAACTTTGTTGATTATTATTTAATGTAATCTTTGTTAGGAAAATAACGTTAATACTAACACACACATACACAAACATGCACACGTACACATAAACTATACATAAGTTTTATCTAAGTGATAATTGTTTTGTTTGTTTGTTTTTATTACTTTTTATGTTCTGGAAGTACCAATGAAAGATATTATCACTGACTTGTTTACAATCTTTATTAGATTGACAAATCATTGTATTCCTTTTGAATAACACATAAACTAATTGAAGGTCTTAGTAGAAAGTTTATCAACTTATTATATAATGTACGTGGATAGTGGCTTTATATGTATATAGTAAACAATAAAATAACAATATAGCGAATCAAATTTTAATATAGGATGGTAAAATAGCATAATTACATATAATCTTATAAAATAACAAAAATAGAAGTTAAACATAAACACAGTTAGACACCAACTTAGTGGTCAAGAGGTTAAGTGTTCGCGTGCAAGACCAAATGTCTTGAGTTTGAGTCCCTTGTACTAGATTATAGATTCACACTGCTGAGGAGTACCATAATAGAACAGAACGACCGTCCAGTGCTTCCATGATTTCAGTGGTGGTTTAACATTGATTGGTTCATAAGATCGATGAAAATACAATAGATTTATTCGGAAATATACTTGATAATAGTATATTCATTATGAACAATTATAATACTGACTTTTCTACAAATGTTTTGAACATAAATATCATACTCACAAGGTTAAGTGAACTCACAGAAACCTACTCAAACGTTTTGGTCACCTATTGTTTTACCTGTGTTATTATACAATAAACCTTCTTGTTTAAGATTTATCTAAAACGAACAATTATGATAACTGTTTGTGTGTGTACTTACGCGGTACTATCAAAGGCTTAAAATCTATCACAATGCTAAATACTGAAAATCCCATTACCAAACACTGCACTTTTTGAGATATTTTTCTTTCTTGTTTAACCTTTGAAAAAGCGAGGGACAAATTTATCAGGTTGTATCTATTTAATATCTGATGTGTGGTAGAAACATAGTCAAAGAACAGAAACTGATTATGAACTTTCTCCATTGAAGATAAGCCGAGAAATATAATTTTTGAATAGTCACAATGTGAATCTAAGTTAAAGTGAAATTTCTCGTAATATTTCACAAGTAATGTCGAGGATTCCATATTGTAACAAAATTTCTATTAATCAGTAGAGGTATTGTTATTGTAGTTTAGTGTATCAGATAACTTTTATACTTAAGAATGAACTGATGTTTAATCATAAGCTAGTGACCATCAGAACTCAGTAGCTAAGTGGATAAATTGATGGAGTTTTAAGTGAACGGTAATGAGTTCGAGTTCCGGGGCGAACATTAACTTTGAGAGGAAGGTTCATCCAACTGACGAGTCCTAAATAGGACTAATCGCGCGCCCTGGATTCCACTGTTAGCCAGCATCCATCCTTCCTATAATTTCCGGGTTTTTTAATCATAATGTTTCCTAGCGTCATAGGAATTACTTTATAAGTAAAAAAAGTCATCTAAATGCTAAAATTACTTTAAACCAGAGCTTTTGGTTAACTTTGAAAGTTGTTGTTATGGGACTAGAGAAATAACTCGTAATCAAGGTGATGACCATGATAATTATAAATTATTTTAAAAAGATATTATATATGAAAGTTTTATTTGAAATAATTTCAGCGATTGAAATTTAAATAATTCCAATGTTTCGTCCAGCAAACTTGTCTGGACTTCTTCAGAGTATGAGTTGTAATAAAGAAGTTCGGACAAATTTGCTGGACGAAACATTGGAATTATTTAAGTTTCAATCGCTGAGATTATTTCAAATATAACTTTCATATATAATGGCTTCTTTATACTCGGCGCCTAAGTCTTACTAAACTATTCGTTCTAATATTGACGAATATTCGTATAAATTATTTTGAAAAGAGTACTCATTATTTCTATATGCAAATTACGTAATAGTTGATGGTTTATTTCGATTAGCTGATGAATGATTACTTTATTCTATGCAATACAAATATAGGATTCTAATCAGAGAGTTTTGTGGAGATTGTAGTAATTTAATAATCGAATTCATGGGTCAACTGAAGCTAGACCACCATGGAAAACCTGGTAGCACTGCACAGCCGTTTCATCCTAGTATGGAACTCCTCAGCAATGCGCATCCGCGATTGGTTGAAGTTAGACATTAACACCGTTGGATGCCAACTGGCTCAGCGGTCTAAAAGTTAAGCGTTCGCGCGCGAGATTGATAGGTCCTGGGTTCGGATATAGAATTCTGTTAATAAATTTATGTTACGAACCATTTTATCAAAATATAATTCTTTAAAAAAGTATTTTTCAGTAGTTTAACAGTGTCATAATGAGATTTTTACATTATAACGTCTAATTACATGATTTTAATCGTTCAGTGATTGGGAATTACATAACACTTTATTCGATCATTAACCTATGAAACTAAAATGTTAGTGAAAATATATACCATCAATAACAAACAGTATATCTTTAGCCAAATAAAATAAGATTAAATAGATGTCAAAAACTTAGTTCAGTACTCAAAATATAAGTAAAATACAGTGAGAATATTACTGTAAACATTTAAGGTACAATAATAACATTGTCTGTGTGTTCCAATCCATTTTCAATTTATTTATCTGACAGAATTGAAACTATAGTTCAATAGTATCCATTACACTGAACTTATAAAGGACAAATTAAGGTTCGAAATCCATTCACAAACAATTTACACTTCGCATTCTTGAGACTGATTGTACCTTAAATTATAAGTCAAGACTTAATAAACTTGAACTTGATCCTTAATGAAAGAGGATGTCTAAACTGAATCTAATCTTTTTCATCAAAATACTTAAACAATCTTATAGATCCTATGAAGCAATTCAGCACACAGAAAGTCCTAGTTACAGTATCCGTAACTCTCTGTCATTAGTAAAACAGTCGCATTCTAAATCTTTTCTTTATATAAATTAATTTGCCAGTAAATTTTCCAGACTTTAGGAAAATTTACCACAGTCTGTTCGTAAAATAAAATCACTTCTATGCTATGTTCTCTGACCTGATGCTTACTTCTTCTCTGCAAATGTCTTAAATGTGTCATACATCTATAAATATATTCCAAACCATAAGTAAGATTAAATGAACTTAAAATGTTTAATCATTTTTATTACTGAACTCACTGAGTAAACCTACTTACCCGCTGTTGCCTTACACTAACACTGTCTCTGGCAACTTTAACTTGTCTAAATAATATCTAACTCGATCAGCGGAACACAAAATAACCTGGTATATGTATTATGGTAGACCTGACTGACCTATCGTGATAATTATTGCTTCTATTGTTTCATGAGCCCCAATCGATTAAGTTTAATCTTACCAAAGACAACCATCTAGAATATATATTTAATAATCAGGGCAATATTTTTCAAGCTTATAAAAATTTTTTTCAATATTCAGATCAAATGAAAAAAGGTATTAATAATAGAAAAATAGGGTAATTGTGATTTTTGTTTATGATGATTATTGATTTGTACATTATTGAGTGCATAATTCGGTGAGATTATAATCTATGGGTGACCTTTGAGAGACGCTAGACTGAACTTGAGAGTGTCCACCTAATAACTATGACCAAATTGAGGGTTATAAACCTGTGTAAGGAATTATAATTATAATTTACAGTTGACGGTTAGGAATTAGCTTTAGGGTTTTCATCACGAATGGATATCAACTAAAATGTCAAACATTATTTGGCCAAATAGATAGATGAATTTCGCGCTAAAATCCGAGACCTGTTATCTTATACGTGATTGATTCGTCCATATATTATATTCTCGCCTATAGCTCTACTTTTAATACAATACATTTACGTGTGTACACTGTCCCATTTCTTATTTTACTTTTAGTTCATTTATGACCATAGAAGTACATTTCGAAAACAAGAACTAGGACGAAGCACGAGTCCTGGATTCCACTGTTAACCATTATCCATCTTTACTTAAAAAGCTTGTGAATTAAGGCAATATCGAGACAGTCCGTACAGGATGCACATATGCCAATAAGAGACTGATCGATTGTAGTCCTAAACAATAATGGGTAGATACAAGTAAAACAACCCTAAATGATTACATTTTTAGCCAATAAGACGATAGGAAGTGAAAATGATTAGCTTTTATTGAAAAAAAAAGTAATTCAAAACATATAAACTTACATATTCGATCT